CAGGGCACGTGCGGCCGTTCCCCCACCTCCCGCGCGCGGAGGGCGGGACGAGGCGCCCTGAGGGGAGACCGGGGCCCGGCGGGGAGCGGGAGCGGGACCGAGTCCGGTAAGGGCCCGCACGGGGCCCGCACGCAGGCCCACTCCAGGCCAAGGCCTCAGGCCGCCCTGTCGGTGTTGCCGGAGCCACCTCGGCCCGTAACGCGCCCGTCCCCGGCGTAGCCGAGGCTTGCACGCACATCGCCTTCGCCGGCCCCTGAAGGAGAAGCTGCTTCTGGGCTGCAGCCTGCGAGACCTCGTCCTCTCCCACTCGGCTCCCCGGGTACCTGCAGAGGTGTCAGATCACGCCAATTCGAGAAGCAGCTGGTTCCTCTACTTTTAAAACACCACGTCCAAGCTGCAGTTCAGTTGCCAGAAATTAACAGCATTAAAAGAAAGCATGTCGTTTAACATGTTTCATCTTGGGGGACAATCCATTGCAGCGGAACTTCAGCTACGTAGAGCATTGGCAGGGTGTAAAAAGGACCGTGGATGGGTAGGACACTCAGTACAGAGCAAACTGAGCTTAAAATATGATTGTTAAGGAGAGAAAATGTCCCTGCACAGCATCTGTGTGTTAAGTCACACTTAAGCACTGTTGCTTTCCTGAAGTGCCTTCATTTCTTTATGCCGTTAAAACGAAAATGCCTGTTTCTGGTTCTTACTTTAACTTCCCTTTGGCACCTGATACTCCACCGTCTTTCAAAATGGGATTAAAAATACACCACATACCTGCTGGATTCAGGAAAACATTCCCTCAAAAGCCAGGTACTGATCTGATCAGCTTCACACCCTCCTCAAGAGGTACAGGGCACGGCCGAAATTGCTCAACTCCCTCTATTTGCAGGTACTGATCTGATCAGCTTCACACCCTTGTCAAGAGGTACAGGGCACGGCAGAAATTGCTCAACTCCCTCTACTTAGACGATTCAAAAAACCCCACAAAAACGCTTGAGGACCATTTATGAGAGAACTAGACATCAAAACTCAAAGTGGGGCCCAAATAATTTTGGTGTCTTAAAATTTTAGGAAAACTGAATCTACAAGCAATCATCCGGGAATCGTAAGAGGCCAAAAGCAAACCCTGAGCATCCTAACGCTCACCTGGAGCTGTAATCGCTATGTTAAGTTTCAGGCATTAAATTACACTTGACAGGATTTCAAGTCACACAGATAACACAGACATCCTCACAAAAAGGCAGAACTTTTTATTCTTAACAAGACATACCACAAAGACCCCGCTATATTATCTACAGAATATAAAAACTCAGAAAGATGTGTGTTTCCATGTATCCAAATAACAAATGAACACCAACAAAAAAAAAAATCAGATACAGACTCTGATCATGATTCAACATCACTCGGCAGTCCTGGAAATTAGCACAGATCCCAGAAGACCAGATTAAGTTCAAATCTTAGCTGATACTCAAAAATAAGAAACTTTTCAAAATTCCTGCTGCCGCCTTCCATCCCAACACAAACGTTACTGCTTTGCACGTTGAGAGCCGACGCAGTCACCGTCCAGGCTGCCACGTTCCTCAGCACGCAGCAACGGTTTATCCACAAAGTGCCCCAAAAGCTACAGTTACCTGACAGAGGCGTCCGCCAAAACCCATCTGAATGCCCGATTTATTTTCGTCAGGAAAGAGTCCCGGTACCTGGAAGTCACCAGGGTGGTTTCTTCCCATCAGCCCATTAGGGATCCCAGCTTCAGCAGCAGTATCGACAGGCTGGAGGGGTGCGTCGCAGACAATCCGGCTGAGTAACATCCAGAACTTCACAGAACGACAGAGTTGGGATAAGAACGGGAAAACAATACAAAAGTGTTCATTTGCTTAAGTGCCAGATTTCGTACAGTAAGGAGTGCGGGGGTTTTTTGGTAAAACCACCCATATTTCACATTGATTTACAGAGTACCAACATAAAAAAAAAAAAAAAAAAAAAAAAGCAACCAAAAAAAAAAAGCTGGGCAGTGGCTGCCACCTGCATATTTGCACTTGCATATCTACATAATGTGATTGTATCGTACACCTGTGATCTCAGGATTAACAAATTTCTGTTTTACCAGCCTGTACCGTCACCACAAAGATATTCCAGAATTATTTTTATCAGCTTACAACACGGTTCAGAAATGGAAGCCTTAGAAAAACAAAACTTTCCCTTTATTTATATTGCACCTTTTTCACAAATAGCTACATGGCAGAAGTTCCTTCTGCTGCAAAATGCTACATCAGAAAAATGTGGGTTTGAACACACAAAAGGTCTTGAGCTTCAGGAATCATCATGAATTGACCCCAAATTACCAACACTATTTCTACAAATCACTGTACACCTACAAAGTCTAAGTATCGCCTCCATTTTATTTAGCATTCAGGTACTTAAAAAACCACAAGCATTTTACCAGATGATAAAGATGCTCTAATCACTACTGGGTACTAAAATTGAATCTGCAAGGGAAATATTTTCAAGAGATCTTCAAAGAGCACCAAATACTCTACGGAGCTATCAACAGAAAACCCACACGCAGTGGGGAGAGATTGATTTCTTTCACACTGGTGTTTCTAGAACCATCCAGGACTGTTTCAGGAAGAATTTCCCAATTTTGTGATGTATTTACATGTACGTTAGAAATGCACAACAGAAATCAAAACATTTCTAAGGATACCAGCGACTAGTGTCCTAACACTCGTTACGGTATCCAAATCGTCGTAGTTTCAGTCTACGGAACCATCCGGTACGGTATCACACCCATACCGCAAAACATTAATCCAATTTCTCACGAGTGGCCATTACTACTAACGTATGGCACTCCCAAAGCTTCCTGCAAGGAAAAAAAACCCCAAACCAACCCCCTTCACTTTGATTTAATAACAGGGTCATTATACACGATTGTCTAGATATGCCCTTTTTATTCCAGTGTTTCCATACTTTCTACAGACCTATGTACAGAGTTAAATACGTCATTAATTTACAAACCGTGTTAAAACAAATGTTTCACCTTGCCAAACAAAATCTCACAGCGGTCCAGGATTAAAATATATATTACAACAGTATCAGAAACTTCCTTTACCTGAATGCGGGCAATATTGCTTAAGGACTCGGATTCAGGTGCTCAGCAAAACCACCTCTTGTAACCGATTCACTTAACCGCTTTAATTATATGTTCTACCGTACAAAATTACCCCTGTTGACCACAGACCTGAACTAGAAGAGCAGGAACACTGTCACGCAGTCTCCAGGGAAGAGATTCACTCTCCGGGCCCTAAACGGATGATATCCTCATTTTGGGTCAGTCCCTTTTTGCTCTGCAAGTACAGTAGTTCTGTCTCAGAGACACAGTGAGGCCACAAGCCCAGACCGCAATTTGGGACAAGGTATTTTCAACAGAAAGCCCTCAACTGCGACCATACTCTCGACAGAAAAAGCTGAGCTAAAGACCTGCCACAACAAGCGTGCAGCGCAAGCTTTCTCTGAGAACAGTTGCAAAAAAGGTCTGGTTGTGTTCTTTAAAAGGAAACCATCTAATTATATTTAATAAAGCCTCCGATCTGTGAATAAAGTATGCAGAGCTTTATTCCAAGTAACAGTTCAAGTTATATGAAGATGGTACAGCGGCAGACATACCAGAAGATGTAGAGATGAACTCATAGTATGCCTGTACCTCCCTGGGACCCCCACTGCTACCTTCTTCTGGTATTTCACCCCCCTACAAAGTAGGGAAGAATCATCTCCATTTTCCAAATGGGAAACTGAGGCACAAAGAACACAAATAAGCATTTGCGGGAGTCTAACACTTTACAGCTGGAGAACTTCAGCCCCTCCTACAAATCTCAGCCTAAATATCTCATCCTCAAATCAGTGTTTTGCAGAGCCAGCACCTAATCCAAATCCTTTTTACATGTATGTAAAAGCACTTAAATATTGGGAAGTGAGCCTTAGAAATACACATTTTGCGCTTTCCCATATTAAAAAGAAACAATTATACATAAATTAATACTGGAAGAGGCAAAAGCAATTTCATCTGAAAGAATGCTTTTCCTCATTGTTTTGTTCTTGTTAACCCGGGTTAGGGAATAATTTATTTAGATTTTCTAAACTAAAAGCCCAAGTTCTAAGTGAGCAGGAACAGATTCAACTCCAGTCAAGTGAACGAAGTCCCGCTCACAAACATTAGCGGCATATTTAACCCATCTCTGAAGTTTCAGAAGGACCATTTCCTCTTTTGGACTGTATGGTGGAAGGCTGTCTACGTAACTACCTCCGCAGTCTGCCGAAAGAATAAGATCAGGTTGACTTTGCACTTAAAAATAAATTATTTATTACCCAGAAAGGACCCAAACCATCATCTCACATCACGGAAATGGTCATTTTTAAAGCAATAAATAAGTGGAGGGAGTGTTCTGCACCACACCCTAAACTTTGTCACTGGTATCTAATACCTCTCTAGTAAAAACATAAAACTTATGCTATCAAAAATCTCACTGTACAACAGCTTTTCTGTTAAGGAAAGAAGGCCCCTAAAATGTTCTTTTGCTAAAGTAGTAACAATAGCAATCCGATTCAGTGAAACCCAAGTTCAACTCGTTTCATTCCTTTCATGCACAAATGCAGTATCTGACGCACAACCACCAGCTTCTCTAGAATTAAGCACGTTCGTTTACACTAACTGAATCAGTTCTTCTTAATGACAAGTTATCTATTTACTGCTGATTCAAATAATTTTTTCTTAACGATTTACTATTTGAGCTAGGGGAGTTGCAGGAACAGAGCAGGATACCAAATTCAACTTCTTTTCAGCAGAAAGTGGAAGTCAGGCTAAATGCACACAGCAACTCCAACAGCAGTAATTAAGAAACTTAAGAAAGACAATTAGGGGCTAAAAAGATAGACTTAAGAAACAATTAAGAACGATGATTATTCAAATTAATGCATTCATAATATATGAATCATATAAGAGAGCATAATTTATGCATAAAACTGAGAAGAAAACACCTTAAACCTTACAATTTCTAAAGCAACAAAGGAGTTCTGTAAGAACAGGTGTGGAGCAAGTAAAAAAAAAAAATCGTCTTATTCCAAACACTTTATTTGTGAAGGTGTTTTCTGTATTGCCAAGGAAGAGCGATGTCTGAAGTTACAGGACTACATTATTCAGAAAACAATTGCGATCTCAAGCTCTGTTTGCTTGTTATCTACAGTGAC